CTGGCACCTAATCTCCACCTCCCCAGCAGGCATAGGTGTGAGGCCACCTTGCCCTGGGCACCAAGCAGACACTGCCTCCCATCTCTCTGCCCAAAGTCACCAAGCCAGGTCCTACGTATTTGAAGAGTCATCCAAAGTCTGTCCAGCCAAGACATCTGTAAGGCTGGATTGGTGCCGCCATGATGCGGGGGCCAAACCAGCAGAGCACCTGCAAGGCCTCATTCCACTCCCTACAATGGAGATGCCGTTGTCCCAGGTGTTTCCTTCTGTTGGCAGGTCACGGGCATTAATTAGGACTGCCAGCAGGGCATCGTGGCCAAAGAGAGAGGCCAGGAATTATGGGATACCTGGCAGGTGAGAGGAAAAGGCACCTGGTGAGTTGCCTACCATGACAATATCACAACACAGCCAGCTTCTCAGCTCACGGTCAGGGAGGGTCAAGGGCATGGGCAGGGCACACCAAGAAGGAGGGATGTCATCTGTCCCCCAAACTACCAGCACCAGGTGGTTAGAACTAAAGTCCTCTAAGCCCAGCGACAGCCGAGGTTTGAGAAAGTGCCATGTGCTGCTCGCTTAGAGGAGGATGACTGCCTTGTGTTAGAAAGTCAGGGACTTGAGGGTGACCCAAGTCATGGAGCTCGGCAGACAGGAAGATGTGGCATGGTGACTAGCACCTGCTTGCACTCCAATCCTGGCTTTGCTGCTTGGTGGGTGCAAGACCTCAGGAGCTCTCTGAGCTTTGAGCTGCAGTATCCCACTCTGTAAAGGGGTGTCATAAAGTGCATACCCCGGAGCACAGACGGGGAGACCGGATGAGCTCACCCTGCACCGGCCAAGGTGGCAACCAAAGCCAGATGAAATGGGACTTGCCTGGAATCCCAACTATTGGGAGGGTAAGACAGGAGGATCATACATTTGAGACTAGCCTGGGTGACATAGCCAGAACCTATCACTAAAAAACTAAAATAAATAAAACATCTTGGGGCCAGATGATGGTGAAGCAGTCAACATGGTACTCTGAGACTGACCCACATGGGAAGGCTCCGGGTTCACCTCTAGAGACCTCTCTAGAGACCTGCTCAGGGCTGGCATGTGTTCATGATCCAGGCTTCCTGAAGCTAGAGGTAAATGATGATGTCAGACCCCTGTTGGGGGCGCTGTCTCTCTGTTTCTGTCTGTCTTTCTTGCTTATGGAAGAAATAACCTTTGAGACAATCCCATAACCTAGTGATTAAGGGACCTGGATCCACATGGCTGACTGTGATTTGAATCTTGCCCTCAGAGGTTTGAAAAACACCCTGGGCATATGTGCATGCATGCCCTGGTTTCTATAGAATGGAGAAGTGGAGGAGAAGGGATTGCATTTGAGGTTATTCCCCCAGTGGGGGGGTGCTTTCTCCCCAGCTCCCCCCATCTCTCTCTGGTGAGTACTCACACTCTGTCATCTAAAAACAAGTAAGCAAATTAGTAAATAAATAAATAAACTGACTTTAAACAAATAGTTTACCAATATGGCAAATAACATTGCATATGTAAGAGTGCTAACATGCCAAACTGGGCAGTATACGAAATGGGCGCCTATTTTCTCACAGTTCTGGAGAGTGGAAGTCCAGGGTCAAGGTGCCAACAGAGTTAGCTCCTTCTCAAGACAAGGGAGAATTTGTTCAATGCCTCCCTGCTAGCCAGGTGCTGATGGTTTGTGAGAACTCTCTGATGTTCCTTGATTTGTAGAAACATCACTCTAACCTCTGCCTTCCTCTTCACAGTGTTCTCCGTGTGTGTGTATGTGTGTGTGTGTGTGTGTGTGTGTGTGTGTGTTTAAGGTTCGAATTGTCTCATTTCATAAGAACATACTGGAGTAGAGATTCAACCTACTAAGACCGAATCTTAACTAATTACGTTGACAATGACCCAATTTCCAAATAAGGTCACATTCTGAGGTGAGGTACTGGGGATTAGGACTAACATAGGAATTTGGGATTGGGGAGGACACAGTTCAACCCATAACACCACAGTGAATACTGGAAATGTGGCAGATTGGAACTGAATTGTGTCATATTGAATATATATTGTGTTTCAGGCTGGCCACACAGCCTAGTGGTTAAAGGAGCCAGATCCTACATGGCCAATCACATAGCCAGCTCAAATCTCAGCCCCAGTGGCTTGAAGAAGACATCTGACATATGTGTGTACATGTCCAAGATTCCACTGGAGTAGAGAGGTGGAGGAGAAGGGACTGCAGTGTGAGTCCACTCTGTGGGGGATGCTTTCTCTCTCCAGCTCTTTCTGGCATGTGCACTTGACCTTTGAGGGGAATTTTTTTTTAATTAAAAAAAAATACACATTAGAAGGGCCAGCAGTTGACATAATGGCTATGTTGCTGGACTCCCATGTAGATGATCATGGTGTGAGTTCCAGACCTGGGGCTTAAACGCACGCTGTGCACATGTGCATGTGTGCCCAAGATCCCGAGAGGAGAATGAAGGAGAAGGGATTGTGGTGTGGCCACCCACCCGGGGGGTGATTTCTCACTTTCTGTCTCTCTCTGTCTTTCTGGCGAGCACATGTGCCCTGTAGCTAAAACCTCTTCAAAAAAAAAAAAATATATATATATACACATTAGATTTCAAAGCCTTCATAAGAAAGAAAGAAAGAAAGAAAGAAAGAAAGAAAGAAAGAAAGAGAAAGAGAAAGAAAGAAAGAAAGAAAGAAACCACAGGATGTCTCTCTATTAATTATTGAGATAATTAATCTCATTTGTTAATCATATTAATCACATGTTGAAATTATTTGATCACATGACCATATTTTGGATATATTATTAAATGAATTTTTAGGGGACTAGCAGAGAGTGTAATGGTTATGTTGCTGAACTCCCATATCGTCCACCATGGTTCAAATCCTGGACCTGACAGCTTAAAACTCACGCTGGGCTCATGTGGTTGCATGATTTTACTAATATACTTTATTTATTCCAAGACAGTTGTTTCTTGAACACACAGGTTAGAACTGCATAGATCCACTTACTCAAGGACTTTTAAAAATAAGTACTGTGGGCCAGCTACTGGCATGGTGGTTAAGGCAGCTGGATCCTACATGACTGACTATATGGTTTGAGTGTGGGAGCCAGTGACTAGAAAAACATGCTGTGTGTGTGTGTGTGTGTGTGTGTGTGTGTGTGCCCAAAATCCAAAGAGGAAGACAGAGAAGGGATCACAGCAACTTGTAAGTGTATTTTCTCTTCCTTATGATTTTCTTTCCTTTTTTTTAAAAAAAGAATTATTTTATTTAGCTTTATTTATTTATTTTAATTTGATCAGAGTGGGACAGATTGAGAGAGAGAGAGAGAGAGAGAGGAAGAAAGTAAGCTGTCATGTCCAGGTCTTGAACTACTGTCAGCCATGTGGGAAACCAGTACCTCGAACCACCACGCCACCTGCTGGTCCCCCTTATGATTTTCTTAATAACATTTTCTTTTCTGTAGCTTAGTTTATGGTAAGAATATAGTATATAATACATACAACATACAAAATATATGTTAATTGACTGTTAATATTGTTGGTAAGACTTCCAGTAAACACTAAGCAATTTATAATTATGTTTTTGTGAAGTCAGAAGTCATACGGATTTTTGACCACCTGGAGGTGAGGGTAGGGGTGAGGGTTGGCACCCCTAACCTCCCACATTGCCAACTGTAGGGGCCAGGTGGTAGAGCAGTGGTATTGCCACCAGACCCACGTAGGGAAGGTCCTGGCTTCACGTCCTGGGACCTTCTTGGGCATGCCAATTGAATCTGGGGGGTGGGTTGTGGCAGGAAGGCCCTGTTGGCAATGCCTGTCTCTCTCATGAAATAAAATAAAAATAAATAAACAACAACAATTAAAAAAAAAAGTTAACTGTATATCCAAAAATATCATTTCCACATGTGGTCAGTTTTGTATGATTAATGAAATATTTCACTTTTTTGGGTACTAAGTCATTGAAATTTGGTTCGTATTTTACACAGACAGTGCGACTCCATTATCACTAGAATGAATCAGGTTTTGAGCACTCAGTATCCACATATGGTTCACAGACCCCAGGCTGGTCATTAGCGGCCTAGAACTTGGTTCGGCCCCATGGAAGGACAGAGAAACAAGGTTCCAGGGATCTGTTTTCCTGCCTTCACCTGTTTTCATCTTCACCTCCCACCTGTTCCTCTCTGGAAAATTCATGTCCAACCAATTGGTGTTTTCCCACCTTACCTAATGACCCCCCATCTGCCTCTTTTGTATGCATGGCTATCACCCCTTGGCCTCCTGACCCCTCTGTGAGGGAACCAGACTTCCGCCCTCCTTTGCCACTACCTCCCACGTCTTGACTGCAGGGCACTGGATCCTACCCAGGAGCTCACCACCTGGGCCATCCTGTGATCTCCACCCCTGCAGCTCTGGGCTCCAGAGACAGCCTCAGTAATGATTACGGAACTGTATTCCCAATGCCTACTGAGTGAGCAATGCCAGGCTCTGGTTCTGCTAGCTGCGGTGCACCTTCCCTAAGCCTCCGAGCCACCTTCATTCTGCACCCTTCTGCACACAGGGCTCCCCTCTTAGCCAGTGAGCACTGACGAGGTACACCTGTGTTCAAGGCCAGGGGCGGGGGGGATTAAAGATCCCTTATACTAAATGCCTGTGGACCTCCTAGAGGGCTGAGCCAGGTTTATAAAATGTTTCTCTATTTTGCCCCAAAGGGGATCTCAGTGGGTCCCCAGAAACATGCCCCATGCCTGTCACCTGGGAACCAGTGGGACCTCTTCTGGGTGAGCAGGCCTGGAGGTGGGATCTGCTTGCTGCCCCAGACACCAGTCTGTGCTCTGGGACCCTTTTCGGGTTGAGTCACCTCCTTGCACCAGGTAAGGTGCCCTTGGATGGCTGCCACAAGAGGGAGAAAGAACTGAGCGGGGCAGGGCACTGGCGGCTCTCCCGTAGAGGCGGGGCCCACATCTGATCCACCCTGTCAGCCCCAGCAGCAGCAGCCAGTCCCGCGTCCTACACACCTGAAACCCACGGGCACCATGAGCGGCCGAGTCGGGGACCTGAGCCCCCAGCAGCAGCAGGCGCTGGCCAGGGTGAGGGGCATGGCGGGCGGAAAGGCTTGGGGGACGTTCAGGGCAGCCTGTTGCTGCCTGTCCTGGCTGGAGCTCCATTATACAGACGGGAAAACCAACCTAGAGAGCGCCTTTTCTTGCCCACCGGGCCAGCGCAGCCACCTGAGCCAGTGGGCAGGTGGCTGAGGTCACTGGGAGTAGGGAGGTGGGGAGAAGCCCTTCTCTGGGGAACTCTGGGACCAAATCTGGGCTTTGCCTCCCTGCGAGCTTCCGAACGCTCAGCCTCGCCCTTAGGCCCAGTTATGGGAGAGAGGGTGGTGCAGCTGGGCAGCCTTGGACGGACAGGCTATGCTCCCAGTCATGCTCAGATTGCAACATTCGTTTGATTGGCTTCTCTGTATCAGGCTTTGACTGTCGGAGCCTGTGCCAAAGCCTGTTTCCTATCAGTTGTTTATTTTGGTTTTTATATATATATTTTTAATGTCAGGTAGAATCCTCCTGCCTCAGCCTCTCAGCCAGGACTACAGGCACCCACTGCCATTCCAGTTCTTTTAAAGACAGGGTTTCGTTGTGTTCCCGAGGCCAACCTTGAGCTTGAGATCCTCCTGCCTCAACCTCCCCAGTGGGTGGATGACAGGCACCACCACGGTGCCCTGCTGGTCATTAGGTCAGACCAGGAATCCACTGGGCCTCCTGTGGGGTCCCAGCCTGCGAAACACAGCATCTTAGCACCCCTCACCACTGAGGCTGGGCCCATGAATTAATGAATGATTATTAGTATTTTTCAGTTTGCTATAGGGCACGTGGACTCACCAGGGAAAGTGAGGGGGGAAGTGAGAAAGCAAGCTACCAGGTACAGGACCCAAACTACAGTGGACCATACCAGAGTCCAGCTCTTTAATCACCACCCCTACTGGCCCTTATTAATTTTTTACTAGAGAAGTGGAGGGTTATTTGGGTGACCCTAGGACAGTCCTGCTGGCCGCACATGGGAGTGCCATGTGGGGGGGAAGGGTCGAGTGTCCAGGTCTCAGGTGTCATAGCCGCAGGGAGGTTTGAGGGTGACCAGGAGCTGGAAACCGTGACTTCAAGGTAGGGAGATGCGGAGGGTGGGAAGGGTGTACCACCCTTTCTCACACTTCTGACCCATGAAAGGGCAGCTTAAGACATGCAGGGAGGAGCCAGCAGGTGGTATAGTGGTTAAGGCACTGGACTCCTACATGGTCGATTGTGGTTCGAGTCTTGGACCTGGTGGCTTGAGACTCATGCCGAAAATGTGTGCGTGCATGCCCAAAATCCTGAGAAGAGAATGGAAGAGAAGGGATTGCGGTGTGGCCATTCCCCCTGAGGGGTGATTTCTCACTTTCCCTCTCTCTGCCTCTGTCTCTCTACAGTGAGCGTGTGTGCCCTAGAGAAAATAAATAAATAAATAAATAAATAAATAAATTGACGGCAGGCTCCATGGCCTATTGCTAAGGATAACAGTATTCCTATGGCCAAGAAGAGTTCAAATCCTGGCCCCAGCAGCTTTAACAGCACGCTGGGCTCATGGATACATGTGTTCCCCAAATTGGGGCAGGATAGAGAAATAGAGAAGGGATGGGGACGTGACCATCCCACATCGGGGGAGGGGTGCTTTATCTCTGTGTGTCTCTTTATCTCTCTGGCAAGCACGCGCACCCTCTGGCAATTGAGAGGAAAGAGAAAAGCGGGAAGAAGGGGGAGAGGTAACCCAGGTCCCAAAGGTCTAGACAACTGAGCCAAGGAACGTTTCCTTCTATGAATAGATTCTTCCCGAGTCTGGTCACACTGTCAAGATGCCACTGTCCCCTCATGGCGTCATCATAACACGGGTTTTCTCTGGGATCTGAAACCCTTCCCAGTACCTGCCTAGTGGGCTCCTTCCACTAGATGTGCACCCCAAAGACACGCAGCCCTCCAGGGTGGAGGCCGTGGCCCTGCCACTCCCTCACTCCGGTCCCTGGGGAGATTCTCCACCACATCAGCCTCAGTCTCCTCATCAGCAAAGCATAGATGTGGCCCTCTTCCCTGCTGCCTCAGGGCCTGTCCTGAGATTCAAATGAAGGGACCGAGTCACCCAGACGAGCGGAGGGCCGTGAAGTGCTTTGCTTCTCAGGGGCGCCATCTCTCTCTCCCACCCCCGGGCTCCTCAGAAACCCAGAGGCTGCAGCTGTTAGCGCGAGAACCTCCATTCTGGGTGCCCATTCCAAGCATTACAGCAGGGCTGCCGTCCGTACGGCTTGTTACCGGCGAAGCTAGGCATGGATGCGTTCCTGCAGAAACATCATCCATCGGCTTAGTGGGTCGCTATCGAGACTGCTTCTATGGCTTCACGCACATCTTTCTTTTTCTTTCTTTCTTTTATTTCCCTCAGAGTTTTGTCATAGAGTGTGTGTGCTCACCAGGGAAAGACAGAGAGGGAAAGTGAGAAATCACCCCCAGGGGGAGGCCACGCCTCAGTCCCTTCTCCTCCATTCTCCTCGCATGATGCTGGGCATGCACGCACATGTACTCAGCGTGTTTTTCAAGCTGCCAGATTCAGGACTCAAACCATGTGGGGTCCAGAGGCTTAACCTCCATGCCACCTGCTGGCCCTGAGGGTCCACCCACAGGGTGGGCTGGCAGATAAGGGTGGAAAGGGTCCCAGATTGGGTTAGTAGCCCAGAGTTTACGAGAGCCCCTTGACCATCGCATCCCCCCACCCTCAGCTCCGGGAGAACCTCCAGGACCTGTTGCCCACCCTGCCCAAGGCTGACGACTACTTCCTCCTGCGCTGGCTCCGAGGTGAGAGGGTCTCAGGAGAGGAGGTGGGAGCCTTTGGGGGACACTGCAGGATGGCAAGAACACGGGCTTCGGGCTGAAATCTGAATTCCCCTGTGTGTAGAACAGCACAAAACCCCCCACCAAGCCTCCGTTTCTTTTCTTTGCTATTATTATTTTATTGACTTTTATTTATTTATTTATTTATTTTAATTTGACCAGAAAGAGAGAGAGAGAGAGAGGGAGAGGGAGAGAGAGAAAATGAGAAAGCAAGCCATCAGGTCTGGGACTCAAACTGCAGTTGGCCATGTGAGAGTCTAGCACCCTTAACCACCACCCCACATGCCAGCCCCAAGCCTCAGTTTCTTTACCTGCAAAATGGGGAAGGCACGTGGAGACACAGAGTCAGTGTGAATTTAGAGTTAGCACCTGGCAAGTCCCCGGGACTTACCTGGCTTGGCCAGACCTTGAGTCTAAGTCTCATCACTAAGCACCTCCTCAGCAGGTCTGTCTGCAGTTCTCTGAGGAAGGGGCTGTGTGTTGTCCCCTAGGGCACTGAGTTGTTAGGGAAGAACCCTTAAGGAAGTGGATTTCATTTGAAGTAGAAAAGGAATGTCTTCGAGAAATAACACCAGCATCTACAATAATAAGGGAAACAAGCCCAAGACTTAGGGAAAATTTCATCTAGACTCACTGTGCCCATGGAATGGATTTTGAACTTGAGATGAGAGATCAGTCGGGATTCAGCCCAGAACGTGTACCATGGTTCAAGGTTAAAATGCTGGGCTTAGCGCTGGCCATAGCACACTGAACTATGGTCCTGGGAACCATGCAGCCAATCACAGGTTCAGATCCCCAGGTCGGCCTAAAAGCAAACCCAAAATCCTGAGTGGCTGGAGGGCTGGGAAAAGGGGATTGCAGTGTAAAGGGATACTTTTGAGGCATGTCTCTCCCCAACCTCCACCTGCACGTGTTTTCTAGCTTTTTTTTTTTTTTTCAGTTTTGCTGCAGGTCATATTGCTCACCAGAGTCAGAGAGAGACAGGGATAGAGAGAGAAAGTAAGAAATCACCCCCCCACCAGGGGATGGCCATGCCATGATCCACTCTCCATTCTCCTCTGGGGATTTTAGGCATATATGCGCACAAACCTGGCATATTTTCCAAGCCAGCAGGTCCAGGACTCAAACCCTACAGCCAGCCATGTGGAATCCAGACACCTTAACCACTACGCCACCTGGCTGGCCCCAGGGTTTTTTAAAAAGCCAATAAAAGAGTATTACAAGCAACTATGCACTAATAAATTGGAAAATCTAAATGAAAGTGATGTAACCCTGAGCTGACTGAGCCTACGTGGCAGTCTGTACTGTACCGGGATCCATGCACACAGGTACCCTGGAATATCTCTGGCCATGAACCTGGAACTGTGTCATGTGTGTCAGCTCTGCTGAGCACGTGCTCTTCCTGCTGTGCCACTGTCTGGCCCCATTTCCATGAATTGCTGAAGTCCCTCAAACACCAGAGCTTGTTCCTTTAACTGACCATAATTTTTGGTTTCTTTGTTTGTTTTTGTTTGAGAGAGATTTTTCCCTGTAGAGTAGGTGTGCTTACCGGAGAGACAGAAAGAGACAGAAAGCGAGAAATCACCCTCCAGGGGGGATGGTCATGCCACAATCCCTTCTCCTCCATTCTCCTCTTGGGATCTTGGGCACACGTGTACATGCGTCCTGTGTGAGTTTCAACCAGGACTCAAACCGCAGTTGACTATGTGGGAGTCCTGCAACATAACCATTACGCCACCTACTGGTCCCTATCTGGTCGTAGTTCTGTCTCCATTAACCAGTGTCTCCCTAATCCACCTTCCTCACCTCTAGTAACCTCATTCTACTCCCGCTTTGTATGCAGCTCGCAACTTTGACCTGCAGAAATCGGAGGACATGCTTCGGAAGGTGAGGATCCATTATCCCTAGCGTCCTGCCTCTCACACGCTGGACCCTGGGAATCAGTGACAAAGAGCGAGGACTCCTGTTCTGCTCCTTTGCATGGTCTTCCTCCTTCCTCCTCGGATAGCTTTTTCCATCAGCACCAAGTTCTCCCTCCCACCGGACCTCACTCCTGGACTCCTCCCCAGTTCTATGTGGTGAAACCTGGAGGTGGTTTAGCAGGGTCTTGGTTGCCGAGGGCAGAGGGACCTGGCCAGGGGTCCCCAGGTGCCCTCAGAGGCCTTTGGGGCAGGCAGAGTGCTGAGTTGCTGTCTTGTCTCCACAGCACATGGAGTTCCGGAAGCAGTATGACCTGGAGAGCATCCTCACATGGCAGCCCTCGGAGGTGAGCCTTAGGCAGGGTCCCTGGCCATCCAGAGCCCGTTCCACCCCATCAGCACCCGAGGGAGCAGGGACAGGGCCCAGCTGGCTTGACATGTCCTCACCCGTGTGCCCAGGTGGTCCAGCTGTACGTCTCGGGCGGTCTGTGTGGCTACGACTACGAAGGCTGCCCGGTGTGGTTCGACATCATCGGGACCCTCGACCCCAAGGGTCTCCTCCTGTCAGCCTCCAAGCAGGAGTTGCTGCAGACGCGCATCAAGGCCTGCGAACTGCTCTTGCGAGAGTGTGAGCTCCAGAGTCAGAGAGTGAGCAACAGGAGTGTGTGGGGGGTGCTGCAGGATGGACCCCGTGTGTGTGGAGATGGCACCAGGACCAGGGAGGGCCAGAACTCTCCCCTCCACCTCGCCCAGCCCCAGCACCCAGAGCTTCTCTGCATGTCACTCACCTCCATGCATCCCACACGTGCATGATGTCTATTGGCATGGATCTAGGTCACCAAAACCTCCTCTCTACAGAGACATTGACCTCGCAGGCAGGGGATGCTCTAGGTCTGTTTTCCTGACACCCTGGGAAGAGTGGACAGTCAGCTTAGCCATGGAAAAGCGGTCCCCTGGCTGTAGATTGCATGCCTGTAGCCGCCCAATGGGCGAGCCATTACTTTGGGCATCTCTGACCATGGGAGCCTAGAAACTATTACAGAGGTGCTACAAAAAGACTAAGTCCTAGGGGCAGTGGGTGTTGTGGTGATTAGGGTGCTGGATTCCCACATGGCTGACTGTGGTTTGAGTCCTGCACCAGCAGCTTGAAGATTACGCCAGGTGTATGACATGATTCTGGAAAGCACAGTGTTTGGACAATACTACTGGGGGACAGCTGGTGGTGTGGTGGTTAAGATGGCTGGATCTCACATGGCCAACTGCATGGTTTGAGTCCCGGACCTCATGGGTTTGAAGACACACGCAGGTCATGTGTGTGTGTGTGTCCTAATGCCTGAGAAGAGGATGAGGAAAATGGATTGTGGCATGATCGTCCCCCCGGGAGGTGCTAGCTCACTTGCCCTCGCTCTCTTTCTGTCTCTGGTGAGCACATGCACTCTATAACAAGTTTTTTAAAAATTGAAAAAAACAACACAAGAAAAAATGTGGGGTGGGGTGTGGTAGTGACAGGAAAGTGGGCGAGGTGCTGGTGTCTCTCTGGCCAGGTTCTCCTGGCTGGAGCTGTTGTCTGGTCGCTATACCTTCCCTGTCCCACGTAGCTGGGCAGGAAGATCGAGACGGTGCTGATGGTGTTTGACATGGAGGGGCTGAGCCTGAAGCACCTGTGGAAGCCCGCGGTGGAGGTCTACCAGCAGGTAAGATGGGCGGCTGGCTTGAAGCCAGAGCAGCAATGGCTCCCAGGCCCATGGGGCGCCACTGCCCGCACCAGCTTCCATCACAGAAGGGCAGTGACGCCGTCCAGGGGCCCCCAAGCCAGCCAGTGACGCTGGCCAGGAGTCCAACCTCCAAGAAGAAAGAGGAGCAGGAATCACGCAGGGAGGAAGCAGAGCACGTGTTCATGGGGAGGTGGGAGGGCATCTTGTCTCAGTAGCATCAGAAGCAGCAGAAACCCAGCTGTGAGGAGTGTTGGAATGTGGCCTCCACCAGACTTGTCTTGACTCCACAGTTTTTTGCCATACTGGAAGCAAATTATCCTGAGACACTGAAGAATTTAATTTTTGTTCGAGGTGAGCCCATGACTTAGAAGACCGCCTGGGGAGGGAGCAGTGGGGACTGGCCAGGGCGGGGGGTTGAGGGCAGTAAATAAGTCATTCAGTTCAAGACTTCTCAAACCCGATTTTGTGAAGAAACGGTATAGGTTGGTTTGTTTGCTTTCTGTTTTGTTTTCGTTTTTGCTGTAGGACACATGGGCACACCAGAGAGAGAGGGAAAGTGAGAAATCGCCTCCCCGCAGGAGAAGGTCCCTTCTATTCCACTCTTCTCTCAGGGTTTTGGGCATGCGCACACATGTGCCCGGAGTGTTTCTCAGGCTGCTGGGTCTGGAGCTGCAGCCATGCAGTTGATCATGTGGGATCCAGCTATCTTAGCCACTATGTCACCTGCTGGCCCATGAAATGGTGTTTTCTTTGTGTATGTGTGTGTGTGTGTGTGTTTGTGTGTTTTAGAATTTTTCCATAGGGCATGTGTGCTCACCAGAGAGAGACAGAGAGAGAGAATGAGATGGCCACACTGCGATCCCTTCTCCTCGATCTTCCTGTTGGGATTTTCATCTGTGCCTGGATTATCATTCAAGCCTCAGGGTCTGGGACTCAAACCATGGAGTTGGCCATGTGAGAACCAGTACCTTAACCACCATGCCATCTGCTGACCTGGAAATGGTGTGCTTTTTAAAGTTTACTTTATTTCTTTTATGAGTGAGCAGGCAAGAGAGAGACAGAGACTGAGAGAAACAGACATAGCACCCCCAACAGGGTGTTCACGCTCAGCCTACCCCGGCCTCACTCAGCTCTGGATCATGGGCACCTACGTGCCTGGCATACTTAGGAGGTCTCCAGACAAAACCTGGAACTCTTCCCTGTGGGTCAGGCTTGCAGAGTGCCGTGTTTCACCCCTGCACCACCCTCCAGCCCTCCGGTGTTTTATTTGCTTGATTTTGTGTTTGTTTATTTCATAATAATTCCTTTGCAAACTGGTAATTTGTAACATACAAAATCACACTCTGGCACATTGCAGCAATGCCAAAGAAATACGTTTCTTTCTTTCCTTTTATTTTTTAAAGAATGATTTTATTTAACTTTATTTATTCATTTATTCATTTAAATTTGACTAGAGAAGGACAGAGTGAGAGAGAGAAAGAAAGTGAGAAAGTAAGCCCCCAGACCCAGGACTCGAACCATGATCAGCCATGTGGGAGTCCAGTGTCCTTAACCACTCTGCCACCTGCTGGCCCCAGAAGTTATAAGTTTCTAAATGCTGACTTACTTACGTCAGCATGGAGTAGAGCCAGGTGGTCCATGGCACCCAGGTTGAAGGGCACGCCTTGAGCAGAAATGGTTTCAGTCCACCATGGCTGGGTAGTTGGGGGGCTGTCCCATATGCTCAGGAACTAGGTAACCTGGGTTCAAATCTAACTGGCTTGATGACTTTGAGAAAGTCGGTTTAATAACCTCACTGAACGTCCACGTTCCTGGATTAGCGGATATAACTGTTTACTGACAGCCAGGCACTGTGCCAAGTGTTCCACATACATTCTTTAATTCCGTTTTATAGCTTATCGCACTGAGACTCAGGAAGGGTGAGTAACTAGCTGGTGGTCACACAGCAGGCAACGGCAGAATCCAGATCTACCCGATTCCTGCCTGGCACATGCCGTTGGCCATGGCTTTCTCTAACGGAGTTCTCTCTGGTTCCGCTTCCCAAGGGAGTTTCATGTGTTTCAGTCCCCAGGCTGTTTCCCGTGGCCTTCAACTTGGTCAAGTCCTTCATGAGCGAGGAGACACGCAGGAAGATTGTGATTCTGGGACGTGAGTGACTGGCTCTGGCCACACCCATCTCTGCCTCTGTCTAGGGAGCAGAGTCAGTGCTGAGGGCCCTGTTTCTCCCTGGCTCATGTCGGGCACTACAGGCCCCGTTTCTCCCTGCCCTGACCCTAGTCAGTCTCTGCACACACAGGGAGGCCTCAATCCTTAGATCACGGCCTGAAGGCCGCATAAAGCGCTTGGACTCTCTTAAAAGTAGGCACCCAAGGGAGCAAACCCCTGTCTGGGCTCAGTCCCTTCTGCCCTCTGTAGGGTATCCCTGAGCCCTGTCATACCCCCTCTTCTTGCTCCCACACAGACGACTGGAAACAAGAGCTGACAAAGTTCATCAGCCCTGACCAGCTACCTGGAGAGTTTGGGGGGACCATGACCGACCCTGACGGCAACCCCAAATGCCTGACCAAGGTACAGGTGCCCATAGACGGGGAGGGAGGGGAGGCGGCCGTGGCCTGGTGCCCACTCACTGCCCTCGCCCGCAGATCAACTACGGGGGCGAGGTGCCCAAGAGCTACTACCTGCGCCACCAGCTGAGGGTGCAGTACGAGCACACGGTGCCCGTGGGCCGCGGCTCCTCCCTGCAGGTGGACCACGAGATCCTGTTCCCGGGCTGTGTGCTCAGGTAGGGACAGCGGCTGGGCCCGCCCCGGGCGGGGCCTGGAGCCCAGGCAGGTGGCCGTCAGTGGGACCGTGTGCACTAGGTGGCAGTTCGCATCCGAGGGCGGGGACATCGGCTTTGGGGTGTTCCTGAAGACCAGGCTGGGGGAGCGGCAGCGGGCAGGGGAGATGACGGAGGTGCTGCCCAGCCAGCGCTACAACGCCCACCTGGTGCCCGAGGACGGGAGCCTCACCTGCCTCAAGGCCGGAGTCTGTAAGTCACGGGGTCCCTGGGGTGGTTTTCGTCCTCATGGTGAGGAATGGGCTGACATCTCTCGCCAGCGCACCCCCTCTGCTGCCCTCTCCTTCCAGTGCTCAGGGATGGTGTAGGGGCCTGTAACTCCCAGGGTCCAGGAGCTCTGGGAAGCTGACTTTGGGGTCTTGGGTCCCACGAAGGGCCGTATATGTGGGTGCAAAGGCAAAGACTCTTTGTGGAGAAAAAGGGGTTCCGAGCCCAGAGCAGTGCGCTCAGCTCCTGAGAAGTCTACACTGGGCTGGTGGGGCTGAGAGATGGTGAATTAAAGGGCTGTGAGCTTAGTCGGGTCCCAGCCAGGGGCTGCCCAGCTGTGTGGACTCCCCACTCCAGGAAGCCCAAAAAGGTGCCTTCCTCTGGGTGTTTGTCCTTCGTTCCCAGCCTCCCAAGGCCAGATCAGCTTCAGCAGTTTTACCAGGAGCAGCGAACACTTCTGACCTTTCCCCTCTATCAGGAACAGAGCTAAGAGAAGGGGACTCTGGGACCAGCAGTTAGCGTAATGGCTATGTCGCTGGACTCCCGTGTAGTCGACCATGGTTTGAGTCCTGGAACCAGTGGCTTAAACTCATGCTGGGCACATGTGCGTGCGTGCCCAAGATCCCAAGAGGAGAATGGGGGGGGGGTTGATTTCTCACTTTCTGTCTCTCTACCTGTCTCTTTCTGGCGAGCGCACACGCCCTATAGCAAAAACCACTCAAACAAACAAATAAACAAAACTTAAAAAAGAGAAGGTTGATTTCCTGTGGAGACAGAGAACATAGGTGGATAATGCTTTCGCCCCCGTGTCGCCTCGTTCCACTTTCTGGAAACAGGAGAATTAGCAGAGTGCCGACAGAGAAGTCGGGGGCACTCCCGGTGCCCTAGAGAACACCAGACTTGGGCGCTGAAGGAAATGCCTTCTCTGACACGGAAAAGAGGCTTTCGGAGCCCAGCCCTTTCCTCTGGGGCAGCAAGGCTCCTCTCTCTGTTGCGACATGGGAATAGGAAAATCCCAGTCCCTCGCCTACTTTGCTCTGTGATGACTTAGAAAGTCCTATCACCTCTTCTTTAAAATAAATAAATTATATATATATATATATATGTGTATGTATATACATATATGTGTGTGTATATATACTATATATGTGTGTGTGTATATATATATATATATATACACATATATTCTTTTAGTCTGCTATAGAGCGTTTGCCCTTGCTGGAGAGAGAGAGGGGGAAAAGTAAAAAAAGCACCCTCAAGGGGGATGGCCACGCTGCAGACCCTTCTTCTCCTCTCAGGATTTTGAGCATGCACACACATGTGCCCAGCCTATTTTTCAAGCCTCCAAGTCCAGGACTCGAACAGCGCAGCTGGCTGTGTGGGATCCAGCCACCTTAACCACTACACCACCTGGCTGCTCCCCTATACCTCTTTAAGCCTCGGTTTCTTCTTCCATATAATGGGGATGATGGTACTTCCGTGTGAGGCTGCTGGGGGGATTCGAGGAGCTGTGAGGTGTTGATGTGATGTCTGGCACATCGAAGGGGCCTTGCACACTGGTGTCGTCATGAGCCCTATATGGGGCACAGCGTGACCCGTGGAGATGGTAGGCTCGGGGCCGGGCAGTGGCTGGGCCTCAGCCCTCCCATGGTCCTGTGCAGCTTGTCCCCAAGGGAGCCAGGTGTCCAGATGCACGGGGCTTGTCCACCTGGTCACTGCCCCGTCCTTGCAGATGTCCTGCGCTTCGACAACACCTACAGCCTGATGCACTCCAAGAAGGTCAGCTACACCACAGAGGTGCTGCTCCCCGACAAGGCCTCCGAGGAGAAGCTGCAGAGTCTCAAGAGGACGAGCCCCTCCCCGACACAGTGAAGACCTGGCCGCCTCCCTCTGTGCTCTCCAAAGTCTTCGCGCTCCTGCCCCACCCCTGCTGTCCCACGCAGGGTAGTGCTGAAGGTGACCTGGCCCAGTGGCCAAACAGGAACAGGGACAAGTGACCCATATGACTCTGAAGATTCAGATGAGCACCTGGTCACCTGTTCCCAGAGACTGAGAACGAGAACCCCGAGGATGAGCCAGTGTCCATGGAGGAAGGGGCCTGCCTGCAGAAGCTGTCCCGTGTCCCTCCTGACCAGGTCCACTTGTCCCAGGGCTCACTCACACCTGCGTCCCACCTTGGGCCCTGTTCTCTGCATGCTGGGGACCTGCAGGGAAGGACAGGGCAGCTGGAGGCAGATAGGGCAGGGGCGAGGGTCCCGGTTCCAGCAGAGCATTGAGATGCGAGGTGCTCCGAGCTTTGGCGGGAAAACCAGTGCTGGAGAGGTGGGACCCCGCAGGAGTAACCACTGGGTAAAGCCACACCAGGCCTTACAGAGTCATCTCCTCTCCCCTCCACACCTGCTGGGATCTGCCAACTTCTCCCCTTGGTTCCCTGAGAGCTGGGACCGAGGCAGAGCTGGAGAGAGGGAGCGTGCTGGCATGTGCAGGGTGGAGCAAGGCTCTGACTTGCTCCCTGGAGAACCGCCGGACCTCCCTTCCATCTTTGTGTCTTGCCAAGGACGCAGCAGCAGATCGGCTGCCGATATCCTCCACGCGACCCAGCAGCTGGGCTTCTGCACGTGGTTTCTCAAGGGCTGCCCTCCTGGGCCCCCGCCCTCCCTCAGGAAGCTGCCCGCTCACTGGGTGGACCACAGCCAAGAGAAGAGACCTCACCTGGGAATGAGTCGAAGAAGCTGTTGAGCTCGACCCCGATGTGGCCCTGCTGTTGACTCTGGAGGAGAGGAGGCCATCAGCCAGAGCCTGTGAGCCCAGGCTGTGCTGCTCTGCCCTGCCCCTCCCCAGGCTATCCCTGCCCCCTGCCCTCTGGCTAGGCCAGGCCAGGCCAGGCCAGTGACCACCAGCATCTCAGCCACCTGGGGTGACTTGCTCCTACTCTATTTGTCCTTCTATGCTGCCATCCCACAGGGCAAAGGAGTGTCAACTGTCACCCAGGTGCAGTCCTGGGAGTGAGTCACCAGATGTCCCTGTAAAAGCGGTCCTTGCTGCAAAGCGTTTGCATCCTGGCCCTTCCCAGAGACCAAAAGCCCAGCAAACATCCAGGTGCTTTGCAAGCAGGAGCCGGCCCCCCTTCTTGCTCTGACTCGGTGATTTCATTGCCTCCAGTTCTTGATGGCTTGGGACCTATTTTAGGAGAGAAATTCGAGACTTGGGAAGGTGAGGGTCTCCAGGTAAGCTGTGTGGGGTCCTCGGGCCCCAGCCCCTGCGGCTGGAGCAGCTGCACCATGCATGGGGGACACACAATCTGAACAGGATCTTCCACTCTGAAAAGTAAACTAAACCAACAGCTTAAAGCCAACGTCAAGTGTCCTGGTTTGAAAGAGCGTTCAAGCAGGGTGGCAAGAAAAATACGAACGGCTGTGCCTGCTCCAAGGGTGTGACTTGGGTTGTTGGGTAGGTCACATGATGGTCCCCAGTCCAAGGGCTTCCCCTGCACCTGAGATGTGGCAGGCATTCCCACCACCCCTTGTACTGCAAGGCCACCCTCCCTGCTACCACCCAGAGGCACTCAGGCTTCCCTGGCAGCCTGTGGGGGGGTGGGGGGGTGTGGCTGATAGGGTTGAGAGGACTCTGGGCTAGATTTCACCAAGCCCACCTGTTGTCATGACAGGGACTCAGAATCCCTCACTTCATCCTTGGTACACACCGTCTACCCTGCCTGCCTGAAAATGAGAGGTTCCAGGACTCATATCCTGACTCTTGGCCCTCTGACCAGCCATAGCCATCCCCTACTACCTGCCTGGCTTCATCTGGTTCCCTTATAGGTAGCAGAGATCACTCTGCCCCATGCACAAGCTGCGATCGCAGAGAATATACACAAGTGTGGGCTCTCTGGGGCACAGCAAGTCCCAAGGGGGGCAGGGGTGGGCACCGGCCCCAGGTAAGAGCAGAATATCCCACTGGGCAAAGTAGACAGGGGCACATGGGAAGCTCAGCAGGGTCTGTGTCCCCAACAGCTCCCTCCCTAAGTCTTAACAGTCACTTTCTCACAAAACATAAAATAAGGAGCCAGCAGGTGGTATAGTCGTTACAGTGTTGGACTCCCACATGGTTGACAGTTCAAGTCCCGGACCTGGTGGCAAGAAAAGCACACTGGGCACATGTGTGTGCGTGTCCAAAATCCCAGGAGAAAAATAGAGGAGAAGGGATTGTGGTGTGGCCATTCCCCTCGGGGGTGATTTTTTTGCTTTCCTTCTTCTTGTCTGTGTTTCTCTCCTGTGAGTGCACATGCGCTATGTCAAAAATGTTAAAATAAATAAATTAATTAATTAAATTAAAAAGTGGGGCTGGATGGTGGTGTGGCTGTAAAAGACGATGCTATACAAGGCTGAGCGACCTGGGACGGTTCTGTCCTGCCCTATGTCCCTGAGCAGGCAGGGCACACACCCACCCATGATCTAGGGCTGGCTAAGGCTGGGAGTGTCAAGCCCTTGTTGAGGGTGCTGTCTCTCTATCTCTGACTCTGTCTCTCTCTCTCTCTGGGAGTAGATAAACAAACTTTTTTAAAATTACAAAAAAAGAAGTCACTTGGAGAAAGACACAGGCTTGCCCAAAGTTTGCTTCTTTGTTTACCTGTCTGCTGCTCGGCGTTGATTATCTGGCCAGCAGTAGGCACTACAGACCCTGGGGACGCCAAGGACACTGACCTGACTGCTAACAGGAAGCCTGTCCGAAATGAGGGCAGCAGAAGTGACACCGATGATCATTGTCAAGTGGGCGTGCCATTGCCACAGGTGTTTGGGGAACAGGAGTTAAATTCCAGCGAAATACTCAGCACAGACACCTAATGGAGGGTCCGATATTCTCTGCTCAAGAAGGTAACCCCTGGGGCCAGCAGGCGGCATAGTGGTTACGGTGCTAGGCTCCCACATGACCGACCATGGTTCAAGTCCTGGACCTGGTGGCTTAAAATTCACTCTGGGCATGTGCACATATGTGCCAAAATCCCAAGAGGAAGATGGAGGAGAAGGGATTGTGGCGTGGCCATTCCCCATGAGTGGTAGTTTCTCACTTTCATCTGTCTCTCCAGTGAGCACACACGTTCTATAACAACAACAAAAAAAAAACTCTCAAAAAAAAAAAAAGAAAGAAAGAAAGAAAAAGAAGTGACAAAGTGACTCCCCCCCACTAAGGGAAAGCTGAAGGACGTCTGGGGATGACTGGGCGGGGCAGCCCACCAGCCTGAGGAATGGGATGTGGGTAGCTGTGGGGTGTTTGAGGACAGAGGAAAGCGCTCCTGTTCTTGGGTGACGCTGGTAATGACCCCAAGTGTTTGCTATTTCTTCATGAACAACTGTGTGTACATTACATAGTTGTCAACAACACGGTTTTAGAATGCAGGTTACAAAACAGAGCCTTGTTTGTCTGGGAAGAATGAAAAACCTTGGCAGGAAAGTGTTCAAGCAGGGTGGCAAGAAAAATACGAACGGCTGTGCCTGCTCCAAGGGTGTGACTTGGGTTGTTGGGTAGGTCACATGATGGTCCCCAGTCCAAGGGCTTCCCCTGCACCTGAGATGTGGCAGGCATTCCCACCACCCCTTGTACTGCAAGGCCACCCTCCCTGCTACCACCCAGAGGCACTCAGGCTTCCCTGGCAGCCTGTGGGGGGGTGGGGGGGTGTGGCTGATAGGGTTGAGAGGACTCTGGGCTAGATTTCACCAAGCCCACCTGTTGTCATGACAGGGACTCAGAATCCCTCACTTCATCCTTGGTACACACCGTCTACCCTGCCTGCCTGAAAATGAGAGGTTCCAGGACTCATATCCTGACTCTTGGCCCTCTGACCAGCCATAGCCATCCCCTACTACCTGCCTGGCTTCATCTGGTTCCCTTATAGGTAGCAGAGATCACTCTGCCCCATGCACAAGCTGCGATCGCAGAGAATATACACAAGTGTGGGCTCTCTGGGGCACAGCAAGTCCCAAGGGGGGCAGGGGTGGGCACCGGCCCCAGGTAAGAGCAGAATATCCCACTGGGCAAAGTAGACAGGGGCACATGGGAAGCTCAGCAGGGTCTGTGTCCCCAACAGCTCCCTCCCTAAGTCTTAACAGTCACTTTCTCACAAAACATAAAATAAGGAGCCAGCAGGTGGTATAGTCGTTACAGTGTTGGACTCCCACATGGTTGACAGTTCAAGTCCCGGACCTGGTGGCAAGAAAAGCACACTGGGCACATGTGTGTGCGTGTCCAAAATCCCAGGAGAAAAATAGAGGAGAAGGGATTGTGGTGTGGCCATTCCCCTCGGGGGTGATTTTTTTGCTTTCCTTCTTCTTGTCTGTGTTTCTCTCCTGTGAGTGCACATGCGCTATGTCAAAAATGTTAAAATAAATAAATTAATTAATTAAATTAAAAAGTGGGGCTGGATGGTGGTGTGGCTGTAAAAGACGATGCTATACAAGGCTGAGCGACCTGGGACGGTTCTGTCCTGCCCTATGTCCCTGAGCAGGCAGGGCACACACCCACCCATGATCTAGGGCTGGCTAAGGCTGGGAGTGTCAAGCCCTTGTTGAGGGTGCTGTCTCTCTATCTCTGACTCTGTCTCTCTCTCTCTCTGGGAGTAGATAAACAAACTTTTTTAAAATTACAAAAAAAGAAGTCACTTGGAGAAAGACACAGGCTTGCCCAAAGTTTGCTTCTTTGTTTACCTGTCTGCTGCTCGGCGTTGATTATCTGTCCAGCAGTAGGCACTACAGACCCTGGGGACGCCAAGGACACTGACCTGACTGCTAACAGGAAGCCTGTCCGAAATGAGGGCAGCAGAAGTGACACCGATGATCATTGTCAAGTGGGCGTGCCATTGCCACAGGTGTTTGGGGAACAGGAGTTAAATTCCAGCGAAATACTCAGCACAGACACCTAATGGAGGGTCCGATATTCTCTGCTCAAGAAGGTAACCCCTGGGGCCAGCAGGCGGCATAGTGGTTACGGTGCTAGGCTCCCACATGACCGACCATGGTTCAAGTCCTGGACCTGGTGGCTTAAAATTCACTCTGGGCATGTGCACATATGTGCCAAAATCCCAAGAGGAAGATGGAGGAGAAGGGATTGTGGCGTGGCCATTCCCCATGAGTGGTAGTTTCTCACTTTCATCTGTCTCTCCAGTGAGCACACACGTTCTATAACAACAACAAAAAAAAAACTCTCAAAAAAAAAAAAAGAAAGAAAGAAAGAAAAAGAAGTGACAAAGTGACTCCCCCCCACTAAGGGAAAGCTGAAGGACGTCTGGGGATGACTGGGCGGGGCAGCCCACCAGCCTGAGGAATGGGATGTGGGTAGCTGTGGGGTGTTTGAGGACAGAGGAAAGCGCTCCTGTTCTTGGGTGACGCTGGTAATGACCCCAAGTGTTTGCTATTTCTTCATGAACAACTGTGTGTACATTACATAGTTGTCAACAACACGGTTTTAGAATGCAGGTTACAAAACAGAGCCTTGTTTGTCTGGGAAGAATGAAAAACCTTGGCAGGAAGCCACAGATCAAAACCCTTGCTTAAAATGAGGTGGTTAGAAATACCAGGCCTCACCTGCCCTTCCCAGCCCACCTCCTCACTGATGTTTCCACAATTTTCTGCGGGAGCAGGTGGGGACCCTCTGGGGGTGTTTTGATGAAAGTTGGAAAGACTCCTCTGACTCCCCAAATCTCCACCCCAGCCCAGCTCTCACCTGGGCCCAGTGACTGTGGGACAGTCAGTCCCAGGTGCCCAGAGCGGGTCTTCCCCAGAGCCCCATGGCCTAGCACCCCACAGTTTGCACAGCCCCTTCCAGTGCAGCTATGAAGCAGACAGGGGTTATACACACCCCCTTTTAAAAATAGTTTGCTATGGAGCATGTGTACTCACTAGAGAGAAAGAGCCAGAGAGGGAAAGTGAGAAAGCAACCCCCAGGGGGCATGGCTGTACCCCAATCTCTTCTCCTCCATTCTCCTCTCTGGATCTGGAGCATGCATGCACATGTGCCTGGTGTGTTTTTCAAGCAGCTGGGTCTGGGACTCGAACTGTGCAGTCCATCATATGGGATCCAGCTACCTTAACCATCACGCCTCCAGCTGGCCTTAACCATCACGCCTCCAGCTGGCCCTACAGCCCCATTTCGTAGGCTGGGAAACTGGAGCTCAGCAGGGGAGGACGCTTTGGCCAAGCCTCAGAGTGCCATGGCAGAGCTGAAGGCAGCACCCAGGTTAGATACTGGCAGTGGCCTGCCCTGCCTCTCAGGGGAGGAGAGGGTTGATGTGAGTCTCTGCCAGGGAGGGCCAGTGTGGGGCAGAAGGGCACACAGGGATTCCTGGGTGGGAAAAAGGCTCAC